ATTCTAGCCACCAGCCTGTTTGGAAATATCAGAGAAAATCACTACCTTGAATCACAGTTACTGTATCACTAACAACTGCACAGGATAAAGATTTGATTTTTAAGGTAATTATCATGTATCCTATGTACAAACATTACATTATATGACTGGAAGGATACTTAAATAATGTCAAAGCACAACTCTTGGGAACCAGCAATTAGTGTAATGGCTATGTCGCTGGGCTCCCACGTAGTCGACCGCAGCTCACGTTCCTGGACCTGGTGGCTTAAAACTCACACCGGGCACGTGTGCATACGTGCCCAAGATCCCGAGAGGAGAATGGAGGAGAAGGGATTGCGGCGTGACCATCCCCTCTGGGGGGTGATTTCTCACTTTCTGTCTCTATGTCTCTCTCTGTCTGGCTGGCGAGTGCATGCGCCCTATAGCGAAAACCTCTCAAGAAAAAAAAAAACAAAACACGACTCTTTTTTCTTTTCTTTTTTTTGAGAGTTTTTTGTCATAGGGCACATGCGCTCGCCAAAAAGACAGAAAGAGACAGAGAGACAGAAAACGGGAAATTATCCCCCAGGGGAGATGGCCACACCGCAATCCCTTCTCCTCCATTCTCCTCTTGGCATCTTGGGCAAACATGCACACGCACCCATGAGTTTAAGCTACCAGGTCTGGGACTCGAACCATGGTCAACTACATGGGAGTCCAGCGACATAGCCATTACGCTAACTGCTGGGCCCTCAAAACACAATTCTTGCCATAAAAAAATTTGCAGACTTCACAGAGAACTGATAACTGAATGACTGTGACAAATATTGAGTCATCAGAAAAGTCCTGGGAACCAGCAGTTAGCATAATGGCTATGTTGCTGGACTCCCACGTAGTTGACTGCGGTTCGTGTCCCGGACCTGGTGGCTTAAAATTCATGCCGGGCTCATGTGCGTGCGTGCCCAAGATCCCGAGAGGAGAGTGGAGGAGAAGGGATTGCGGCGTGATCATCCCCTCTGGGGGGTGATTTCTCGCTTTCTGTCTCTATGTCTCTGTCTGTCTGGCGAGCGCACGCGCCCTATAGCAAAAACCTCTCCAAAAAAAAAAAAAAAGAGAGAAAAGTCCTAACATATTTTTGCATGAAAAGCATAGAAAAATACATCATGAATTTTCTGATAATCCAATAATTCAACTGCTAATTTCCCTTGGAATTTCAGTATAAATTTATTCATCCTCATCTTCTTCTTGCCTCCTCTTTATTTATAATTTTAAGATATATAATTTGGAGATAGAGTTGATTTTATAGTCAGAATAAAATGCCAAATATGCTTAAATGATTTCCATATGCGAAATCATGTCATGTCATCATCAGAACTAGAATGTTTCATAAACCTTCTGCTTATATTAAGGGTAACATTTTCCAGCCCAAATTACCTGCAATAGTTATTTGATTTATACATTTTATTTCATAATATTGAGATTTGCTATATAATCTCACATTCAGTTTAATATAAGCTTTCCAGGCTGAGTATTTTTGCTTTTGTAGGCATTTGTTCTATCTGCCTGGAATGAATGTCCCTGCTATTGCCTGGTAGGATCGAACTATAGGGGAGAAGAGATAGCTTTCCTTACCCATCACTAGATTCATGGCTGAGGATTCTAACAAAAGGCAGATTAACAAGTATACAAGTTTATTTAATACACATTTTACATGACAGAATTGAAAGAGCTTTTTCAATTAAAGACCCAAAGAAACAGAGAAACCTGTGTATTTTTATGCCAAGTTTGGTAAAGAAGGGCATAGTTGTAGAGAAATATGATGGGAGGGCAAAAGAGTATAATCTAGGGACCAGCAGGTGGTGTGGTGGTTAAGGCACTGGACCCCCACATATCTGACGATGGTTTGAGTCTCAGGTCTGGCAACTTGAAAATCACGGTGGGTGTATGTGTACCCAAAATCCCGGGAGAAAATTGGAGGACAGGGGATTGTGGCATGGTTGTCCCTCTGAGGCATGATTTCTCACTTTCCCTCTCAGCCTTTCATTGACTCTTTTTGGCGAGCAAGCATGCCATACAGAAAAGAAAAGGAAGAAGAAGAAAAAGCAAAACCTTCAAAAAAGAGAAAAGATATGATCTAAAAGCACTAAATAGAGGGAAACTTAGAAAAGCTCGTTTCTTCAGATTCTTCTTGGTTTTCTGTGTTTTCAAGGATAATGACATTCTTTTGTTCTTGATAAAGGATAAAGACTTCTTTAATGAAGGTTTTATGTTCTACTTTGTATGAAGCTCAGAAAAATCTGATCTGCTTCAGGAAAAAGGAGGATAAGAAGGCGAGAGTGTTCTTCCTATTTCTGTGGTTTACACAAATGCCAAGGTGTCATATTTTGGAGTAGCCTGTTCTGAACCCCATCACTATTCATCTTTCAGGACTTAACCTGGAGCACTGTCTGCTGTAAAGGAACCTACTCACTCT